GTTTTTTTTTTCTTTTAGCTGCTCCACTTAAAGCTTTTGGCGGCATGATTTATTGTAGACGTAAATAAAATTAAATAAATGGATAGCTTATTGTCAATTGACCGAATATAAAACATAGACTGTCGAAGATCCCGCATTTTCAACGAGCGTCGTCGTCGTGCAATATAAAAGCGAGCCCGATCGCGGTTTTCCCGCGTGGCACATAACAAAAATAAATAACAATACCTAATTGAGATGCGTCACACACTCATACTATATGGCTATATAGGCCGGTCAAAATACGCGTTCCTTCGCATGACGCGCTTTAATCAATTGCAACCAAACTATTTTTAATTTATGTTATACGGGTCGCAAAAGAAACGTTAATATACGATAACGTTGTGTACAAGACAAAATCGATCTATTGTCCAATCATTATTAATTATTATTATATTATTATTATAACAAAATCGTTTTATTTTCTTTCTTTCTACATATTTTTCAATTTTTATCATTGGGCCCCCCATTATAGGTTGGGGCCCTGGGCCCGTGTGTTTAACACACGCAACACACCCGGTTATTGCGGCACTGTTCACGATTAAGATAATTGTCATTCGTAATCGTTTTCCCTATACACAAAAAGAGGTGATATTATTGTAAAATATACTTATATTTTATATTTCTGATCACAATAACCGAAAACCTGAACACAGTAAACGACTTATAACGGCTATTTGTTCCGTTCCTGACATTTTTGAGCACTGTAAGCGGCTGATTCTTATAACCAGTGAACACTATAAGTGGCGACTACTGTATTACATTTTCGTTTGGATTCGCAAACCGTTATCAAGGAAGTTGAGTCGTATATCTACAGTAGTACAGTTGTGAGTTTAACTGAGTCAGTGAGTCAATAAGTCGCCAACTCTTGTAATACTGATTCGACTCGTCCAGTTCATTTTTAAGAGTCGACTAGTTCATGAATTACACATTTCAACTATTTCATATTATACCCATGTCAATTATCTTGATCTCACTCTCAACAAAAAACTTACTTGGGATCCTTACCTCAAGGATAAACAAAAACAATTAAATGTAGGCTTAATCTACTTAGGGCCTTACTAAGATCTAATATCAACATTCAAAACAAAATTCTTATTTATAAATGCCTCCTTCATTCCATTTAGCATACGGCATCATATTCTATATTATAGGGCCCAGTCAAAAAAATCAAATATTCAAATGATTCAAGCATTCCAATCAATTTGTCTGTGTATCATTGCTAAAGTTCCATAGTACATAACAAACATATTAGTCCAACATAACTATCAAATCAAAACCGTCCATGCCATAGCCATCAATTTCTACAAAAGGTTTCTTGGGAAATTCCTTATAAACCATAATCACCTCATCTTACAATTAGCCTCAATCATTTCCTGATAAAAAAATGCAGTTGCAGACAAGTTTACGTAAATGTGATTTTGGTTATAATAGATCATTTAATTAATTTTTAAATTTGTAACAACTATATTTTGAAGCTCATTACTTCAATTTTTTTTACTTATAATAAATAATAGGAATTTATTTTAATAAACATTTTCTAAAATTTTATTCATTAAAACGAAGATAATATTAGTTAATATTAATACTATTAATAGCAACACATATTTTAATTAAAAATACATTTATAGTATTATATTTTGATAATTTTCATAGCTTTTTTCAAGTATTAATAATGCAACATGTCCTTTTCATATGAATTTTTTTTTTCATATACTGGAATGTTTAGTAATCAAATATAACCAAATACATCTTTTTTTAAAAAATGTATGTATTATTTAAATTAAGTAGAGTAAAACATATTTTATTTTTAGTGCAGATAAAATTATTTATTTAAAACAAAATTCACCTATCCCAACCAAAGAATAGAAAATTAATATTATACACCACAATTATGTTACCAACAAGATTGTGTTATACGTACATAATTTGTTCAAAATTCCTAATAATTTGACAATATTCTATTTACATTTTATAAACATTTATGACCGATGAAAACAAATTTAAAGCCATAAAATGTAATTTAAGAAAATAATTATAATATCAGTTCGAGTGTTGTCCAGGCGTAATATTTCCTGGATGTTCTGGACTGTGTTTTTGTTTCTTCTTCTTCTTCTCTTTTTTTCGCTTTTTCCTTTCTTTATCATCATCATGACGTTTTTGTTTCTTGTGCTTTTTCTCATGAATATCACTTAATCCTAATTCATTAGCTGCCATGTCTTGTGATAGAGCTTCTCCACTTTTGTACTTGCTTTTTTTATGTTTGTTTTTATGTTTCTTAGTAGGTGGTTGATTTGCATAGCGATATTGTTCTGGTAACTAATATGAAAAATTCAAAGTCAATGAAAATACAACAAACATGAATTGAATATATATGTCATCAAAAATACATACTGGCCCTGGATGTAATCGAAATCCAGCTAATTGATGGGTGGTTAGTGGTAAAATTTCTTTTCCACCAATTGGTGGTTTTTCAATGACAGAACGTAATGAACTGCGAAAATAATATTTAATGATTCATGCTGTATATATTTTAACATTAACATACAACAATTTTTGAAAAATATAATTCTACAATTTAATTTTAAAAATTATTCATAATGAAAGCTTATTGATTATTTTTTTTTTATATAATGTATATCTTAAATGTGGTTGCCACCATGTAATCAACATATTTTAATTTATAAATAATAAATTAATATGAAGAATGTAAATTTTGAATAATGAGTTGAAAAGTGAAGGTTAAATTGTACAAGGTACAGGGATTGAAACAAAAGAAAATATCATAATGCTATTCTTCATGAAGCTTTTTTTAAAACAATAGGATTTCTATTTTTTAACAATTTATTTAACTTTAGACCTTGTAGGCATAAAAAATTATTATATAATATGATTGATTTATTTTAAAGTATTAAGAAAATTTGATGTATGGAAATAAAAATGAATGCACTTATATTTATGTAAATATAAAGTAAATTAGTTTAATTCTGTAAACTAAGTATTAAGGCAGTATGATATTTTGTACTTAGTAATTCAGATGAATAAATATTATTTTTCTCTATAGTAATTGATCACTTTAATATTATCATTTAATCAATAAATTCAAAATTGTGAAATAAATTGATATTTAAGTACACTTATATGCAGTTTTAAATGAAATTAATTAAATATTATAAAATACACAATATTAATAAAATATATTTATTATTCAAGAAAATTAAGTAAAATAAATAGGTTTAATTTTTTTCTGATATATTACAATATTAATGGTAAAAAACTAGTTTATTAATCATTAGAAATTATGGAAAATCTTTATTAATTATTTATGAATATTTCAATTACCTTTGATCATTATGTCCAGGTGTGTCAATAATTCCAGGTAGATTGGGTAAAAATGATGATAAACTCTCCTTGAGCCTTTTCCCACTAAATTTACTATATGTATGTTCTAGACCATAATATGCCATAAGATTTACAGACCCCGTTAGTTCACTTTCACCTGAAAAATAAAATTATTCATAAATATTCAGAATAAACGTTTCATATACACAAGGTACGAATAGTTCTCTTAAACTAATAATTTTATTAATTCTAAAAACATTTTTAAACATTGATGCAATGGCATATAATATTAGCATGAGTTATTAAACCGTATGCACAGCATACAGCTTGTAATGATTGTTTTTCGTATCATGTTCAATGTCTTATTCAGTGAAACAATACATTTTGCATGTAAATCTTTATGGACGACTTACATGGTGGTTCTTTCATAAGATAAAATGGTCCACTGTGCACAATTGATGGATTCTTGCCCAGAGAGATGGTCGTTTTGAGTGTGCCAGTGGAATCTTGTCTTGATACGACAGGAGACCTAGCTCCACGAGGTGATGATTTTGGTGAATACGACGACGGGAAACCAGACATGTAGACGAAGTGAGTGCGTCACTTAAATAAGAACCAAATATACATAAAAAACGAGCGGCGATGAAATTACTCAAAATTTGTGTGACGTTCTTGGTGAAATAATATTTTAAACGTTATCAATATCGCGTTATACAGTATTTATGTTTACGTGAATTTTGATAAGTAGGTTGTGTTGTTACCGTGAAATGTTTAAACTAGAAAACAGCTGCCGCCCCATTCTGATGAGACGAGTGTTCATCGCAATTGGTTCATTCCAAACGTTATAGATGGCGCCACTATGAGCGATTATTAAAATAAACTACAGAATTTTACAGTTCAAAATTGAAAACAAATCAAACGACACTACAACAATCTGTACATACTCTACATATTCGTAATCAGAGGGTCTCCAAAGAGGGACAAATGGAGAACGAAAGACTTTCAACATATAGTTTAGCAATCGGTCGTATACCTGTCGATAATTTTAATAAATTGATAATAAATTGGTAATTTGTTTTCATTGATTATTATCAAGTAAGTTTATATTTTTTCGGTAACTTATGTTTAAGTAACATTTCATATTATACTAATATACAGTGGAACCTCGATTATCCGGGGTAATGATGGGGAGGGGGTCACACGGATAAATGAAAATCACGGTTAATCGAGACTTTTTATAATAATGAAATTTTTATTTAATTTTAATTAGAAATACATAGGTACATTTTTATAATAATGAAATTTTAAAAATTTGATTCAATTATAATTAGAAATATACATAATATACATACAATAATTTTATACAACAAGTTATTAAGGCTTAAAATATGAAGTTATCAGTCTTTGTTTTTTTTGGTTTTGAAATAATTTTCTTTACTTCATTTCTAATTTTTTTTAAGCCAATGACACGTCATGGAAGTCAAAATTTTCCTGTTCGCAGAAGTTCAAGAGGACATCAACTGCTTCAATTGCTTGGCTTGTCTGTATTTTTTTCAAAATGTTCTTCATTATCACTCTCAGAAGAAGAATCAGGCTGTTGTGAGGTAGATGGTGTAGTTACACTGCCATAACGAACTGCTATGTCACTGTTACTCAAACGCTCAAATCCCTCTTCGTTAAGATCTTTTTGTAGCCAATCAACAATATCGTCTTCATCAACATTAGTGAAATCTAGAATAGATATAGCTAGATAAAGACAAGCTTTTATATCCTTATCGACCGTATTTTCGATACTTTCTTCATCATCATAATCTTGATCCAAAATTTTCGCCCAAGAAAATCTTAATGTAGTTGCAGGTACATTTTCCCAAGCATTACATACTGTAAAAATGGCATCTTTTATGGTCCACGTTTTCAAAAGTTCTTTCATCGAATCAAAACAATCTTCTTGCAAAAGATAACGGAGAAAAATCTTTTTGTACTTTCGTTTCAAACAGGAAATCACGCTTTGATCCATTGGTTGTATTATGGAAGTTACGTTAGGTGGTAGATAGTAGACAACAATTTGACCATCCGGAGTTTTCAGGGTAGATTCTAATGGGTGTGAAGGAGCATTATTAAGTAGAAGAACAGCTCTTTTTGGTATTCCTTTTTCATTCTGAAATTTTTGTACAGATGGTACAAAAACGTTAAGAAACCATTCACTAAAAATAACCTGGTTCATCCAAGCTTTTGGGTGGTGGTAATAGACACATGGTAAATATTTCATTTCTGTCCCTTTAAAAGATCTTGGTTTCTTAGCTTTCCCAATAACAGTTAATTTGATCTTATGTGAACCGGTCGCATTTGAACAAGTCATAATAGTAAGTCGTTCTTTACTAGATTTATGTCCAGGAGCTGATTTTTCAGATTGCACAGCAAGTGTTTTTGAAGGTAGCATTTTCCAGAATAGACCTGATTCATCTGCGTTATACACTTGGTCAGGGGACAAGTTCAATTTTGAAAGGAATGAATTGAATTCGTCATTGAATAGTGTTGCAGCAATCAAATCTCCACTCAGGCTTTCGCCTTGAATGTCCAGCTGTCTTATGCCATGGCGAGTTTTGAACCTAAATAACCAGCCTTGTAAAGCTTTAAATGTTTCCTCAATTTTCAAATGTACATGAAACCATTTTGCTTTTTCACAAACCATTGGTCCTGAAATCGGTATGCCTTCAATACGCTTCTGTTTAAACCATTCAAAAAGAGCAGATTCCATATCAGATAATGATGACTTTTTCATAGTTTTTATCTTCTTAGCTGATACTTCTGCACAAGATATGAACTTGAAAATTTCATTTTTTTGTTTGATTAAGTCACGAACTGTCTGTTGACCCACGCCGAATTCATTTGCAAGTTTTTGAACACTTTCACCATGATCTACAGCCCGGTTAATAATCAACACTTTTTTCTCTAGAGAAAGAACGACACTCATTATTAGATTAATACGTTATACCACACGTTACGTTCGGCGATAGCGAAAGAAAAAAGCAAACTGAAGGTGATTCGATAAATATAAAAATCGATGTACATACAATACTGCTTATCTTCATATTATTATCGTCAAAAATGTCATTAATATAATTGTCGATATCGTGTATTATGTAATATAAAATGTTCGATTATAACTACATATATATCTACAGTCCATACTTATTTTTAAATTTTTGGAAGAGTGAGCACGGTTAATCACAAACACGGATAATCGAGGTTCTACTGTATTATCTGATTTCAATGTTTATTGAATTTATCAAAACTAATTATTCAATCGAAGATGATAGTAGCGAATAACAGTTTATTATAATTATGAACTAAAGAAAATGAAACTAACTATGAATATGAAACCATGAATGATGTATTAGCGAAAAGTGTACTAGTGTCTAGTATACAAACTTCTTCAGGTAGTCGTGAGTTCACCTATTGCATCAGATACACGTGGAAAAAGTTTTTCAGCTATATGAGCATTAATTAACGTCTGTCTTAAAATTAAACGTAAAATTAACGTGTCTTTAAAGACACACAAGCTTGTTAGTTTAAGATCGTTTTAATAAATCGGTAATTTTGTACATAGAAATTGATATCGAAAATGTTATTGATGCATTTGCATTTAATAATAGATACATAGTTTTGAAATAAAATTTAGAGTTAATATTTATTTGAATTGTAAAAATTGTTTTCCATATGTTTATGGGATGGGAAGTATAGGGGTATAACACATTAACAATTTAAACATATCTGCGGGTCACTTTTATGGAATGATTTTAGCCTCCCTCCAAATATTAAATCTTCTCCTGTGCGTTTATTGTTTTCAAATTTAGTTAACTGCCTTAAGGCTAACAATTGTTAGCTGATTCACATTATATTTATCATAACATTTTAATTTTTTAATTCATTGGAGATGTAATTCAATAATAACCATGTGAATATTTTATATGCGTATAATTTATAATGGATTTACTGATTTATGTACGATTACGTATATACTCACAGTTATGAATTATTTTATGATAAGATGAAACTAAGATCAAAAGATCAAGGTGTGAAATTATTTTTAATAGGATTCTGGAAGACTGGAAGACATAACTTTAAATCACGGAGCTACGTAGTTATCTAGGTTGTTGACTATCGTTAATGTAAGTTTAAACTTATAGTGGCTATAATGGCCAAATAGCAATGAAACTACAAATTATATTATATCGAACGTACTTTTAACGGTACTTGTAGGTTGTAGTATGATTGTAGGTACTATATATACTTAAATTATAAACAATATATATACTGTATACTGAAACTACAGTTGAACGCTGATGCCGCTTAATTTCTCAATCTAAATTAAATACTCTTATGTAGGAATACACTCTTACTAGTGGATTATTTTATCAGGATATATGTAGATATTATAATATTTTTATCTTCCGTATTTTGGTAATATTTAACAAATAATTTATTTTTAACCTTTATCTTTTGAAGATACATATACATGAAATATACTATATTAAGTAGATTTTCCATATACTTGGATTTCAAAATAAAAATTACAAATTTTATTTAAATAAAATTAGAGAAAATGACATACTTTTAGAACTTTTAGAATTTTTTAAAATGTTTGTATAAAGCATTAGAAACAATGTAATGATTAAATTATCATTTATATGCAGGGCTAGATTGGCCCGGCGAGTTACCGAGCAAAACTCGATGGGCCGCGACAATTTTTGGCCTTTTAAGTTGTGAAAGGCTGCTAACAAAAAATATTAATAGTTTAAAGTTGAAGATTAGTGCACCTCTTGAAATATGCGATTAAAAAAATTTGGACAAAGGCCGCTAGTTAGTAAGTGGGCCGGTAACATACAGAAAACTCGGTGGGCCGAATTAGTCCAATCCGGCCTTGTTTATATGGCTGTGTTTATACAAATTTAAAACAAATATCTTCCAATGATTCGTGGTCAAGATTTAGCTGTCATCTATTTTAAATTATTTTTATTGCAGAAGTACTATGGTAACTAAAATGTAATTAAATTTAAAATTAAAATTTAATATTTATCAAGTGAAAGTTAAGTTTTAAAATGTTTTGCTAAATGCCATTTTATCAATATGATAAAATAATAAGAACGAAACATTTACATCCTATACTTATCATTTAAAATGCTTACCTTTTAAAAGTACAATTTTAGTCTAACATTATTTTAAATAATTTTGTTTTTTGGTCTATAAATTATGCCAAATTATTGTATTACGAAAATTCTTTAGTAAAAAATCAGCTCTACGATTATTATTATTTTAAATTATTCTGTGGTAAGTAAATTCGCATTTATATACTTCTCATGATTTAGTGTTTTCACGAATGCGAAAAAAAAAATGTAATAAAATAAACAATTCAACAATTTGTATTCCGCAATGAGTTTAACCATAAAGCGCATTTTGAAAAAAAAAAAAAATTGCGGTTATTTTTATGTGATTTTATAATTCGCATATTAAGCCTGAACTTGTGGTTAAGTTGCTGGTACTATGGTGATGTTAATGGTTAGTAGGAATCTAATTATGTGGTTTTTACACATAAAACGTACCACGGAACTCAAAACTTCCGTTTGCTGAATGCATATACCATATTTTATACTAAGTAGGTAGAAATTAAATGTTACTCGTATCAGGTCTAAAGTTGAATATAACAGTATAATTATATATATATATAAAAAATATTGTTATCTCTACTGTATTGTTATAATATGTAATTATTGTGAACATCTTTCACAGACGGTAGGACACCAAAAAATACTGAAAAAATAGACTCAAAATAATAAGTTATAGCGAAATCATGAATTTGACGAATTTGTATTTGGATAAAATTATTGTATTAAATAAATATATTTAGCCAAGAAAATTTTTTTTTTCATCTGTCTAGAAAAAAGTAAAAAAAAAATAACATTTTTGGTTAGAGGTGGCTGAACTAGACGTAAGTGTATTTTTGTAGTTTATTGAGTTCTAATGCTTGAATGAATATCATACGATAATTTTAATAATAATAATTATTATAGTATTTCTCTATTTTTTATTTAATACTTGAAAAATTACATTTTTATTTCTGATTTGCTTTGCAAATTTTTATATTTTTTCTCGATAAAATAATAAAAAATCGCACATATAAATGTTCATAATATTATTGTAGGAATTATTGAGTATATGTGGTGATTTTAATAGTAATGCACAACGATATTTTTTCTGTTATCAATATCATATCACGATATTGATAAATGATGTATCGAAGTAATTTATTAATTTATAAAAATATGTAGACTAGAAAAGAATTGATTGACGGAGGTTTTTTTTTTTTGGAATTAATATTTCTTACATTAAAAAAGTATTAATAAAAAGTATAAAAAAAGTTTTCGTATTATATAATTATAAACAAAAATGAAAAAATTTAAATTGAATTAAAATTACAGGTAAATTATTTATTTTTATCTACTGTAGGTACTTCCGAGTGTTGTATAATTGCTTTTTGAAAATATGCATACATTTAAAATTATTAAGTATTTAGCAATTAATTATTTTATTAGTATATGTTACTACGACCTATAGGTAATGGTACCATCTTAATAGAACTATCTTAATGGTTATTTAATTGTAAATATCAGAGTCGATGTACTAACTCAACGTAGACGACGGAAAAAACGAGACCAATTGTAAAAATCCATCAGTCACAGCCAGGGGCGGAACTAGAGGGTGGAAGATGAAGATTCATCCCCAGGCGTAACATTTTAGAGGGTGTAATTTTTGTAATTATTGATAATTAATTTGATATTTTTAATTTTGTTAAATACTGATATTAGGTTAAAACTCAATTAGTAGGATTGTATATTAATTAATAAAAAAAAATTCTCCAGAAGAGAATTTGATTATTGGTCTATGATAGGGCGTAATTTTAACATTTTCCCCAGGCGTAAAAATTCCTAGTTCCACCTCTGGTCTCAGATATATTATAAGGGCTTTATCGTATTGCTTATCATTAGTGTTTAATCTTCTTTGTCATTGATTCACTGTCAACACTTATATGAATAGAAAATAAAAATTTCAAATAGTAACGAATTGATATCGTTTTTTTTTTTATTGATGTCGTATTTCGAATAGAATATTATTTTTGTCATATCAATATCGGTAAAATTGGTCTGATATCGATATCGAAATACGATATCATTGTACATCACTAAATTTTAATATTACTTTTATAATCTTTGACTTGAAAAATATAGTATTACTTAAATATTGATTATCTGAATACGTTATCATTAAATTATAAAGTACAATGTAGTTTGTGTCGGCTAGTACACTGAGCAAACTTTTGTTTTTTTCAACGCGATACATAAAAAACATTAACGAAATTCAACATTGTTTTTGCAAAGAGTCGGAAGTTAAGAATATCTAATTCGACTAATTCGATATATTCGTATAAATAGGCATCTTTAGTTTAATTAAGTGAGAATGGGTAAAAAATGCCATAAGCTAAGTATCCAAACTGTAATAGTTTTGATAAGTTTTTATTTAGTAATAATATAAATATTTATTTTTATTTTTAATGTCATATAAGTAATCTATTCTTTATATATACAACTGGTTTGAATTTCTATGTTAAACTTAATTATTGTAAGTCTATTTGACAGTATCCAATGTTGCAGTGACGGTGAAATTAATTATTCATGAGGAATGAGGCTGATACTTTAATATGAGCTAGATATATAATATGATGCTTAAAAAAACAACTTCACCGTGGGTATCGAGTATATCCTCTCATAATACCAACCTGAATGGGTTCACTGTTGATCACTATTAGTTGAAAAGGCTTTATATCAATTGCGCTGAAAATCACAGGTAATGAGAGAAAAATTATGAGATGGAAAAAAGGTATACATCTATTGCGCCGGTTTAAAAAGTGTATAATTTATACGTATACATCTATTGTGTCGATCGATATTCGAGTTAATACATTTTGTGATTACCTCATTGACACACATATATTGATGAAAATATAACTTTTCCCCCGTATTTTTGATGATTGAGTAACATATCAGGCAAGAGAACAATAAATGCCTGTGAGGCATTTTACTCAGTGTTTGGAAAATATTTTTATTCACCCCATCTAAATATTTTTGTTATTTATAAAATTTTAAAAATAATGTAACGCAACAATCATAATACATGTTCTCTAAATTATCACATATAAACCAAATTCTACATTTATGACAAAAAAATAAATAGTAAAATCGACATAACTAATTTTAATATTAGGCTTGAGAACTTTTTAAAATCTGTAGGATTAGTGTAAATATATCTATATATAATCTACTATTAGTGTAAATACCAAGTATGTAGAATGATAAGTTTGATTTTAGTTTTAATTTTTGTTTTTGGCCATTATGATTTTTACTTGTACTGTATAGTTGTTATACTGGCACAATAGATACCTTTTTAATATACCCTTTTTGTATCGGCACAATAGTTGTATACTATACAGGTAGTGTCCCAAATTCGGCGCAATTGACGAATACCGGCTGCAAATAATAAACAGTATGTGTATACATATATTAATTAAGTTTTTATATTTATGGAATTTATATGTTTAAATTTAAATAAAAATGATTTTCGGATTTTTCGGTTGTTTAGTGCTAACAGTGAAATATTACAGTCATTATATCGTAATTCCGAAAACGACAATTTCAAAATAATGTTTTGTTTTTTAAATGTAGTTTAAAATTATATATATATATATATAAATAAATAAATAAAAACAAAAAATAAAATAAAATAAAATAGAATTAGATGTGTTTTTTTTTTTTTTTAATTACAAATATTAATTTTTTTATGTTAAGACAATTATAGTTTATTAATAGTGATATACCCGATAAAATGATTGTATCTACTGTTTAATTTTAATTCTATAATAGCAATATTCATTGTTGTTCGTTGATAAATTACATTACTGGGGGGATGGGTGACTTTATTAGGGTGAGAGTGTTACTACGGTAACTATCAACAAAACAAACCCGATATTGGATTTACAACGTAAAGTGAGAATAACAAAATAATAGACGTTGAACCACCATGTCGGTACATGTGGTTTACAGTAAATCTTATGGAGTTCAATACAAAGCTTCTATTTGTTCTAAAGCATTTATTCTGTATGTAGTGATAATGCTGTTGACATTTTTCTTGCCATTTTTGTTTTGTTATCGAAGCAATGGTAATTTATAATTAGTGGTTCAATTGTAACGGACAATTATTTTCTAATAACGTTTCCAGGATTGTGGCTCAAGTATGAAAAATATAGAGAACAGCCCAGAGTAAGATTTAAAATGCAGTATTTATTATATGTTGAAACATCAGACCCTATGTTTCCGTTAATATGTGGGAACTTTCCACAGACATTAAAAACTACTGGTTTTTGTTCAATCATAAAGGTATTGTATGATTTATTCCTATGATTAGTATTATCATTTTAACATATAAATTTGATATTTTATTAGGTTATAGAAAATGATATTGACATTGACGGGAAAAAAGAATTTCTTGACTTGGAGTTACATTTGACTACAAATGAAACTTTAGATGTGCATTCTGTAACTTTATTGTTGATATTCGATTTCAAAATTCAGGTATTTCAATACAATTTACTACGCGTTTTTTAAATTTATACTTATGAACATATTTGCGAATAGTGCTGACTTTCATTATTTTCGTTAGGATTTGTGTTTATTTGAAATGGAATCTATGATTGCTATTACTCATAGTTCTGGATTACCGGGTGGCAGACTGGACGTATTTGGCGATTTAGATTTGGTGCAGAAAATACCATTAGTTTGTTCACAGAAAAAACCGATTCGCATTCACAAACCTATACTGTTATTCGAATCTTCTGATTGGCTGGTGAATATATACGAAAAATATTCAAAACAAACCAGTAAGTTGTTCAAAACCGTGAAATTATTACAATACTGTTCATGTTTATTTACATATACACCGTACCTACACACATTATACATATGTTTTTTTCTATTAGTATCTACAAAACTTGATAATATGTTGGTCAAGTGGACAAGAGGTAGATCTTATCAACAACCATTTTTGATTAAAACAAAAATAAATTACAAACAGGTTGAGATTTTGTATAAACCGAAATTTTGGCAAGTTATGAAATGGGCATGGATACAATACTTTTCAATACTTGTTTTATCAGTATTTATATTTAAAAAAGTGAAGCGATTTTTATTTACAAAACATATTGTTAATACTAAAATTGAGCGTTCAATATAGAGTGATTCGGATTAATAATCGTAATGAAAAATAATACGTTATAATTATTGTATGTATTTAGTTTTGTTACATTTGATATTATTAACTTTAGGATCATTAAATATGTTTTTAAAATAATTTTTATAATCTTAATTGTTTAATGTATGAAAACATTAATGTACAGGGAGACATAATAAATATATTGAACCAATATTTGTTTAATTTTATTTAATTGTAACCGAGATATAGTTTTGTACAAGTTGAACGGCGAATAATAAAAATGGTGAACATATATAACGTAAAAATACTGTTAGTAATTGATATAAATATAAATATAAATAGTAGATGTTCAAAATAAACATAGAAAATTTAATAAATTTTTTGATATTACATTAAAGTAATACATACCTGCCTGAACATAGGTATCTCTAATAGTTGATACAGGCCAACATATTGTTAAATAATAATATTTTTGTAGAATTGACAACGGTATATGGTAACCACGGCAACGAAACCACGGAATAAGTATCAATACTATACAAGAAGCATACCACAAATATACATATGATAATGTATCATACATAGGGTATTGTATATGATGTGTGGTATCTATAGAGATCTAAAATACACGTTATATGCACAATCGTAAAGCCAATATATTTATCGTTCTGCTCAAAATCTAAAATTATTATAAAAACTATAATTTTTCTACGAACAGGTAGGTATAATAAACCGTATTATTGTGTTGGAAAAATGCACTACGGTTGTGTGAATAAAAGTAACAATCCAACAGACATTTGTATAATTATAGCCGGATTAGGAGTAATATTACCGTTAACTGACACTTGGACAATACGAAAAGATATGTCTATATTAAGACGATGTAACAATTTATTCATTCGCATTCATTCGCATGACAATTAGATCTAGTTTCTGTCATATTTGACGGGTATCAACAAAATAAATGATATATACGTCGTTGATAGAAAGCTTGATACCTCCGCATGCAGACATCACAAGTACTAGAAGAACCAAAATGTATTTTTTCATACAAACGAATTTTATTAAAAGTAAATCTATAGCATTATTCCAATAGAAATAATTCGTTTCGAATATTATTATTAGGACTTAATCGTTCTTAGATACATTTACGATGCACTACTCGTATATCGTTGTGAACGGTTTACGTGTACCTACCTTTACCGGTATGCGATATACATAAACTCTAAAAAAATGTTATAGATACCGATTTTTTTAATATAACCCATTTACTGCTAGACTACTACTATTCGGTGATCACATTATTTTCTCAATCGGCGGCTTGAAGATAATTTTACCGGATGCAAATAACAGCGTATCGCATTGACCGCAAGGCCAGCAATTATGAGACAATCGTCTTGTGGCGGACGTCGTCAGCTGGTACTTGTGATCCCCGATTTACCAAACACCTACCACCGGGTGTTGCGTGTATATATATGTACACATAATAACACTTTAGACTAACCATGGAAATGTAATTTCACTGGAGGGAATATTTAGACGAATCCTGTGTGCACGTATTGGAATCTGATGGACCGCGACCGCACGTACACGAGAGAATTAGGCATCGTCTGAAGAATGCCTTCAAAATTTAGTGTGGAAAAAATGAAACAGAATAAAACACAAATTTTGTAGTGACCAAGTTCATAGGAAAACCAAAGTAAATTAATTATTACATGCTACACATTCCAAAAATATAATGAACATCATCAAATTTTTTTCCTCCTAGTTTGCAGAACGATTATTAAAAGTATATATATATATATATTGTAAAAAGAAAAAAAGTCTAGAAATAAAAGGCCATTGTATCGTACTAGGTATAATAAACTTATTTAATATGTTCTGGAGATGTCTTTTATGGGAGTAGAGGCATTTTTCAAACGAAATACATTTAGCAGTAGGTATATGTCGGTTAATGTCTCTGCAAATTGGTGTTGTTTTTTTTATTTCCGTGGCATTTGCACACTTGAAGTAATGTTATAAAAAATATATTTTTAACTTTAAATAATATATTTTTTTTTTTCATGTCGTTATTACATGTTGTGTGTTATTTTAAACTATTAAATTACATATAAATATCAAGATAAAAAATTAGTTTTGATTAGACGCTACGCATGAAAATAAGTAGCTAAACGATGGAAAACTTATGTATTTTGATATTATTCTTGCAATTGTTCAGATCTCAAATCTCAAAATAATTAAAGGTATTGATGAAAAAATATTGGTTATCAATTTATTTGTTTTTTGAAGGTGAAAGTGTATAAAACAAAATAATAAAATCATTATTGTGTCAAATAAACTGTAATTTATTATATAGTTTTAAACGGAAATCAAAAATAATGCTTCAATAATTTAATTTGTGTAACCTCAATATTGTAACAATTTTATATGATCTTTTACACTACACATTTGAATAGAAATATTTATTATTGTTTTGAAGTCGATAATAGATAATTGTTCTATAATCTAAAAGTGGTGTCAACATTTTTTTTTTCATAATTTCTAAAATAATGCGTTTGTACGTGCCAGGATATATTTTCTTTATTTTAAAATATATCTACGTTTATATTAAGTATAAATGATGTTAGATTTAAAAATTTTTCATTATAGAAATGTCATATTTTGTGTAAAATATGATACTGTTTGAAGTATTTATAAAAAAGAAACAATCGAAATCATAGTGACAGTTTAAATCGTTTTTTCCCGATTTAGAGTTTTTTCAATCGGTTATTGTTATTTATTAACAAAACTGTAATTTACGTAGATCGTATTTTGTAGACGCACGATTGAATTTTAATATTCGTGAGAGGAAAAAATGTTAGTAACGTTAGTTGAAACGGGTGATAGGTCAAAAAATACATATATATATATAAAATACCGAATACTTTTTGTAATATCTATCAACGTGTATTGATATTCGCGTTCGTGACAAACTGTGACTAGTCATTGCGATCGTTCAACCATACTGAAATTCTAATCAGTTATGTTTCTATTCGAATGTGCATAAATGTAGTATTTTTGTCAAATATTTATGGTTGTTCATGCATTGCATATTATTTATTATTAATAAATAATAAATAATTATTATTTAATTAAAAAAAAAATATCAATTTAACCCTTAATTTTTTTCAATTGAAATTAACAGTAAGCTCAGAATATAACATTTTTATTATTATTGGTATTTTATAAAAATATATTACATTATATTTTTTAATTTTATTACAGTTTAATTTATTTTGTCAAGCATTTTAAGATAATTGAATTAAATGAATAATAATCAACTGTAAGTACATTTATGTTATTCTGCTGTTAGATTTGTATTAAATATAAAAAAATAAAATACATTTTGTTACCTTGTACATTATTTTAGGCTTTGTATAGGCGCAGATTTAGAATTTTACTTATTTTAGGTAGGTGATGTTATTTTCTTAAATACCATGAAATCAAAAAGGGGCAGTTATCATCCTTCTCAAAAGAAAATTTGTATGATTAAACCTAGGGATGGGCAAAATTGTTTGAACATCGATTTTTAAAATATCGATATGTTCGATGTATCGGTGAAAAACCATCGGTGTTTAAGAACATCGAAGTTTAAAAACATCGAAAAAAAATGTTTTTCCCTCTAGAGCTGCCATCTGTTGCACACTTTATTATCTGTACAGTGTACTATTATTTTGATTAAATAATAAATTTAAGAGTTAAAATACTATTGTTTAACTTATATTTTTTAAAAACCTGTTAAATACTTATAACCAGGTCTCGTAAGTTCATGCATTTGCATGTTTTCTTTGCTAGATCGGAAAATATACTAATTGAGATAAAAATTCGTTTCACAACAAAGGTAATAAAAATTTAAAGTTTAAAAGAGCATGATTTTGCATGTTTTGTATGTATTGGCATATTTGGCATATAGTTGATTTTTTTTGAGTTATTAGCGCATATTATTTTATGTAAATTCAGCGAAATCGTTTTTTGTGGAAGTCAAAAAAAAATTAAATCAATAAATGTTTGATCGAATGAGTTCAATAAATGTTAATAAACGTCTTATTTACTTTTCCGAACTTAAGTTATAAATTATAACTTAAGTTAAGTAATAAACAATTTTTTATAAAATCTTAGTATTTTATTAATATTTTTAATTTTTAATGACATTAAATTTTATAAATTAAAAGCTGTACCACGAAAACAATGTTATGGTGCACCACTACCACTCTCCTTTTATTGACGTGTCCATTGCAATCTATCTATTTTTGTCACAACGTGTGTTCATTAATTATAATTTTAATAAAATGTAATCGAAGAAAAAATATAACTTTTAAAAATATAAATGGATAATTCTTATTATTTTAAAAAATCTTTGAACGTTTTTTTTTCGTGCATAGTTAAGGACTTTTAATTCATATTTGATCAAATGTTAGTGCATTATTGCATACTTATTTATGCGTTTTTTAGTACATGAACTTACGAGCCCTGATTATCACTGTTTAGTGTATAATGTATAACAATTTTTGTATATTGCATACTATAATAATACAAAAAAAAAAAATTCGAACTTTTCGAACATAAACATCAATGTTTAATCGATTAATCGAAAACAAATCATCGATATTGAAACATCGATATTTCAACTCAAAACATTGATGTTTCTTGCTTATCTCTAATTAAAACTAATATATATAATTTTTAAAGGAACCTAAATTGCTGTTGATAAATTTTTATTTATTAACATTTTTATATATTTATATATTAAATAATAATTTTGTTTAAATTATTGTTTTTTTTTTCAAATTATTCTCATGTTAATAAATCATTTTTTTTAGTTCACACTAAGGAGTACATAGAAATACTAAAGAAATATATTACCTCATCAAATTTGTGATTTTGGGGAATGAGCTGTGGCATACACGTCTCACCTTTACCTAATATTGATCTAATTTTAACATTATTTTACATTTATTATGCTGATTTAATATAATAAAATATTTTGGTTTTAATAAAACAATTCAGAGTATA